GGGGGGCACCCCACTCCCCCCTCGGGGGCTTCGCCCCCTCGTGTCCGCTTACTGCCCCCCCTGGCATTTTGCTCAGGCTACGGTCCTGAGTTCACTTATTTCTATGCTAAACTTTATCAATTAATCTGTCAATCACACAACTTACAAACTGACTGGTGACTTCAGACACAAGTCCACCCCCTCATGATGGGCGTTCCCAATACCTCCATGACATCAAGCTCTAATGGATTACTAGCTTGAAACAAAGACATTAAAATTTGAACTGCTAGGTGTGAAGTACTATCTAAATACACTTTAGCTTCCTGTGTGTGGATTTTATGAAAAACATGCTTCCACTGATTGAATTAAAACTACATAATGTATGAAAGTTTAAAAAAATGGGCCTACTAATTACAATATTTCAATACTGCGGTCCCTGACAGCTTGTTAATAGAAAAAAAGTGAAATATTTTGACACGATATCACAGTTAAAGTATGAACAATGCTGCGGAAATCTGTTTTTTATTTATTATCTTTTTATTTAATAGCAAACAATAGTAATCGATACTACATTATAAGACACATGCAGCTACCGGTATTTGTCAGTTACAAACAAATTTAATCTACCCCCAAAGACTGATATGCAAAATTCACACCCGGGGAGGAACAGTTAATCTAAATCAATCTTTCTGATTTAAATTGCAAAGTGGTAGATATTTTAGATGTATAGAATCCTAATAGTGCAAGTCTTCATGCAGTGTACCAATACCATTTTAAGCAGGGGCGGATCCAGGATTATTTGAAGAGGGGAGGGGGGTCCGCGGATGCGGATACTGCATAATATTAGATAAGCTTTTAGTTCTCTTCACCTGTTTCATGGCTAAAAATTAAATAATATAAAAAAAAGGGGCAGGAAATGATGCAGCACAATTGAGACTCTCCACTTGCAGCATGGGCATCCTTGTTTTTGAAGGTCCTTTATGATTCACGTTTTACAATGTATATATCCCCAATGTTTGAAACACTTGAGTAAACACCAACATTTAAGCTCAAACAAATATTTAAAAAAAAAAAAAAAAAAACAAGAAATATAAGAAATAAAATTCCTTGTCACATTTTGAATATGAATCTGAACCGCATAATATTTGAACAAAAATTATCTTCAGGGCCAGGTAGAAGAGTTATCAATGGTATTTCAGTCTTTATAAATCTTTAAATATAAATATGTGTCATTATCATGGTGGAGGAGTCAGAGAGTCGCAGTTCAGATTTTGACAACATTCACCGGGCTTAGGAGGATCCAGTATGCATCCCGCCGGAATAGGCATTCCGTCCCAGTCTTGGCATCTGAAAAAATGACTTATTCGTTCTTTGACAATATTCTTTATAGCATTTAATGTAAATTAAGTTAAATTAATTTTTTTAATCCAAAAATATTAAAATACTAATCTTTTCCGTCATGATATCACTTACTTGGGTTCACAGTAGACAAAGTTAGCTGATGACTTAATGCATCTGCAAGTTTGTTTGCACCCTATGTCCCAGACTTCTCCCTGCCTGTGGAGCGCATTACTGTACAGGCAGTAACCTACAATATTAAAAAATAGATAAATAAACAGGCCCGTAGCCCGGGGAGAATGAGTTAAGGGGAAGGGGAAAAGGTCCCCTCTGGGTAAAAATTGATATAGGTTCACGCAGGTTTCATAGTAAAAGGTCCACTTGGTAAAAACAAGCGCTTTTGAAAGCGCTGCAGCCACGGGCGTGATAACGGTTGAGGGCGTGTTACACAGGGTAGATACTTGATAAAAAATGCGTACAGTTAATTTCTATTTGATGCTACGGTAGGAAATATAATGTGCATTATCAAAGTTAATTGTAGATTGAAGAAATCTTCCGGGCTTCCATGAAAATGAACCTGAGGTTCTCTTGATACCGGATTCTGATTTGAGGTGCTCTGGCGTGAATGCATATTTATGTTACTCACCACTGGGTCGCACACATTCAAAGTTGGTGCTGCCATTTATGCTTCTGCATGGTATCGGATGCCCAGGTGCTGTTTCAGGACAAGGATTGGGATCACAAGGGTCTGAAATGAAAATGTGGAGAAACTATTAGTCTGCTTAAGCAAATAGGTTTTTGACTTACTCCTGGAGACTTGCGATTTGGTTGTAATAAGAAAATTAATTGAAACTGAGACAGGTTCTTTGTCTATTGGCCCACGTTTCACTTTTATCAAAATAACATTTCCTGGCGGTTAGTGTCTTTGCATCAATACTTTTGCATTTGAATACTTACAAACCAAGCTAAACAATTTTACACTTAAATTACCTTTTGCTGCCATGGTGGTGGTGGTGGTAGAGGGTTGCGTGACAGTACTAGAAATAGTGGTGGGAGGAACTTCACAATTGACTCCACTAAAACCATCCGGACATTGGCAGATGTATCCATTGACTTCATCCTGACATGAGCCGTTGTTCAAACAAGGATTAGATGCACATTCGTTGATGTTGGTTTCGCAGTTAGAACCGGTAAAGCCAAGTACACATAAGCATGAATACCCGTTAATATCGTCGATGCATGTGGCGTTATTCTTACACGGGTGAGATGTGCATTCGTTGATGTTGGTTTCACAGTTAGAACTGGAAAAGCCAAGCGCACACGAGCAAGAATATCCATTAATATCGTCGATGCATGTGGCGTTATTCTTGCACGGTTGAGATGCGCATTCGTTGATGTTGGTTTCGCAGTTAGAACCGGTAAAGCCAAGCGCACATGAGCAAGAATAGCTGTTTATATCGTCGATGCATGTGGCGTCATTCTTACACGGGTGAGATGTGCATTCGTTGATGTTGGTTTCGCATTTGGAACCGGAAAAACCATTTACACAAGAGCAAGAATATTCATTAATACCGTCGATGCATGTGGCGTTATTCTTGCACGGTTGAGATGCGCATTCGTTAATGTTGGTTTCACAGTTAGAACCGGTAAAGCCATGCGCACATGAGCAAGAATATCCATTAATATCGTCGATGCATGTGGCGTTATTTTTGCACGGTTGAGATACGCATTCGTTAATGTTGGTTTCGCAGTTAGAACCGGTAAAGCCAAGCGCACATGAGCAAGAATAGCTGTTTATATCGTCGATGCATGTGGCGTCATTCTTACACGGGTGAGATGTGCATTCGTCAATGTTGGTTTCACAATGTTTTCCAGTAAACCCATTTCTGCATTGACAAACATAACCATTTACCGCATCTTTACACACTGCACCATTTACACAAGGGTTAGAGTTACACTCATCCACGTTCACGGTGCACGTTTTGCCGGTCAGCCCAGCGGGACAAACGCAGACGTAAAAGTTCATCCCATCTTTGCACGCCCCATTGTTCATGCATGGTTGAGAGTCACATTCATTGATGTTAGTCTCGCACATTTTCCCCGTTAATCCAGGAAGACATTGACAGGAAAACCC